CAAAGTTCTATAAAATAAGTGGTGAGAAGACTATTTTATTTTATCAAATGATCAATCAAATAGGCAAAAAAAGGTTAATACAGTTTGTTCTTGTGAATGGTAAAGTGGAACATTATTATGGGATGTAGGGAGAATTAATGTGGAGCTCTTCTGAAAATCACCATATGAGTATACAGATCTCAAAATAGATGTAGGAAGAGAACGACCTGCCACGATGGAGACTGGAGCTTTGATTCAATGGCATCAGTCAAAGCCAAAGGATCCAACTTCGAAGCCTCTGCCATGAATACCTGCAGGGCATCCCTAGTCGGCTGCAAGCGAACACCGCCGAATGTTGCAATTGTCTCCAATAGCCTCTCCTCACGGGTCTTTTCACTGGACCTCACTCCTAAATTCTCGCTGGTTGTTTCTGTATGAGATGACTTGAGATCCTGACCCCAACTTTGAGAACCAGCATTTCTTGGAAACCCAGAACTGTTCTGAGATTCATTATAAGAATTTATCCCTTCATATCGATCTAAATAATCTGTTTCCCTTGTCAATGATCGCTGAAGATTTGGACCTCTATAACTTCCAGTTTCATTCTTTTTCAGGGATTGAGATTGTGTTAAACTACTTAGTCCATGCTTTATTGTAGCACTGCCAATGCCAACAATCTCACTGATAAATGACTTATTATCTTCTGATGGCATTTCAATGTTCTTATTACCAAAGCCTTGGATTCGACCACCTAGATTCTCTCTGGAAGCAGGTTTAAGGTCATCCGAAGAAGAAAATAAAGCTGATAATGCTTCCTGGGCTGTTTCACGCACTCCCTGGTTTAGTGCATCACCCTTTAGAGGATCCGGCTGGCCCTTATAGTGAATTAACTGGCGTATAGACACAGAATTCCTTTGCATCTCTCTTCGGAATTCCGTACCTGACTTGCCTATTGCATACTTTATTACCCGTAAAGCCTGGATAAAAATCATAATGGATCTTAAAATTGCATACTACATATAAAATTGAAAGCATTCAAGTAAGACGGGAAAATGAGTTTTTTAGAGCATGAAATAGTGTAGTTGATAGAAAATCCAGTGTGCTGAAAGTCGAAACTATTGATCAAAACTTAAGAGTTATGGAAGTGTAGTTATTCCAGGAATTAATACCAAGTACTCTGGTAATTATTCTGTACAACTCTGACCAGTGTCTGGTCATTACCTAATACTTCTATTATGAATTTATAACTGAATCCGTCTGGTCATTTCAAAAAACATAAATTGTACCAATTGTGAAACCTTAAACATTTACATAGCTAATACTAGTTACATATTTGTATTCACTATTCAGTGAAACAACCTTATGACAAGCCTCCATAGATTCAACCTTCTATTTCACATTCTGAGCTGCAAGATTACAATAACAGCACATCTTTCAAAAGCTTAAATGCATGTTCACTAGTTTTTCTGTTTTCATTTTTCTGAGAATGTACTCAATGGAGTGGAAAACAGCTAGTGACACTTCTGCCAGCTGTTCTTCTCTTTCCCTTGGAAAAATGAAGTGGAAAACAGCATGTGTGGTCTCCTTGACCACTTCTTTTTCCCTTTAGAACAAATTTTCCAAATTTCTTTGAGCTCAGAAACTACTCCAAAATGCAAAAAAGAAGGCAAACAGTACACAGCACCATCCCTGTTAGCAACTCACTGTCCACTTTTTAAGCTTCCTACATTTTGAAATATGTGGAAATTCCAAATTGGAAAAACTAAAAGGAAAAGGAAATAGAGATAAAAAAATGGGGCAACATAGTACATACAAATGCCACATGCATACCCATGATAGCACCTAATGCTTATGCAAATATACAAACATAAAATTAATTGGCAAGTGACAATTACTCTCATATTTATAAGCAAATAACAATTACTCTATATGTCCCTGAATTAGGTTCTAACTTTCCATTTTTGTTGGTCTCAAAATTATCTTCACATTTTCTTTTAAAGAAGGGGAAAGATGTATATACAAGATTGCAAAGGGTCGAGAAAGAAGGATGCAAGATTTGGACCAAGTTAAGTGCATTAAAGATAAGAATCGTGAAATTTTGGTCTCTGATAAAAGCATAAACCAAGGGTGGGAGAGCAACTTCAATGATCTTTTTATGAGGGAAATGTGAATCTCTCATGCTTTGATCGGCTACAGACGCAGGAGAACCAAAATTTCAATTATTATTCGAGAAGTTCAGAAGCTGAAGTAAAGGACGGATACAACTGATGAAGAACAGCAAAGCAGTGGGTCCAGACAACATCATGATTGAAGTTTGGAAAGGTTTAGGAGGAAAAGACATTTGGTGGCTAACTAAGCTTTTTAACGAGATTCTAAGATCTAAGAAGATGTCTAACGAATGGACGAAGAGCATTATGGTTCTTATTTACAAGAATAAGGGGGATATTCAAAGTTGTGGAAGCTGCAGAGGGATCAAACTCATGAGCCATACGGTAAAGTTGTGGGAAGGAGTGGTTGAACGGAGGTTGAGACTACAGACTTTGGAGTCACAGAACCGATTTGGTTTTATGCTAGAACAGAGGCTATATTCTTCGTGAGGAGAATGATGAAAAAGGCATATAACAGGGTACACGAATCCACGAGAAGTATTGTGGAAAGTGTTAGTGAAAAAAGGAGTAAGGGCTGTAAGGATTGTGTATATTCGTGTGATTAAGGATATGTATAATGGTGCTACAACGAGCGTGAAAAGTTGAAGAATTTCCCATCAGTGTAGGATTACACCAAGGATCATTGTCAAGCCCATATCTTTTAACACTAGTATTGGAAGTTCTTACCAAGTATATCCAAGAACACGTACCCTCATGTATGTTTTTTGCCAATGACATCATCATTATGGGCAAATCACAAGAGGATTTGAATGGGAAGTTGGATTCGTGGAGATAGGCTCTGGAGTTGCATGGCTCGCGTATAAGTCACACTAAAACAGATTATGTGGAGTGTAAGTTTAGCAATGGAAGGAGAAATAGTAACATCAAGGTGAAATTCAGAGAAAATATTATACCAAAAGTAAAGATATTTAAATATTTTGGGCGTATGATTCAAGACAATGAAGAAATAAAGGATGATGTTAACTACAAGATTCAAGCCATTTGGTCAAAATGGCGGAAAGCTTCGTGCTTTATATGTGACAAAAAGCTAGCTTTAAAACTAAATGGAATATTTTACCGTACTGCGATTAGACCAGCTATGTTGTATGAAACAAATAAAGTGTTGGGCAACAATGAGTGAACATGAACACAAGGTTAGTGCAACTAAAATGAAAATGCTTCAATGGATGAGCACTCATACGCATATGGATGGTGAAAAGATGGTGAAAAGATGGTGAAAACTCCGGTGAGAAGATATGAGAGGCTTGTAGAAAAGATGGTGAAAACTCCGGTGAGAAGAGTTGATCAAATGGTGAATAGACATGTGGCTAGAGGAAGAGGTAGACCTAAGAAGACTTGGCACGAAATGGTCCAGGGACACCTTCGCGTACATAATAGGGCACAATGGTGTCGTATGGTCCATGTAATCAACCCCACCTAGTGGGATAAGGCTTTGTTGATATTGTTGTTGTTGTTGTTGTTGTTGTTGTTCTTTCAAAGAAAGAATTTAGTGGTTCATATTCATCTCCATTTTTTGTAGAACTCAATCACACAATTATGCTTCCCTAACATTTGTGCCAATTGCATACAAGAATCTATTTTGGGGATGGAGTACTACATTTTTACACATCCAATGTATTGTCTAATTCAATTGCAGATTTCTAAACAGGAGCCTCCAACCTAATGATCCCTTGCTTCCCTTTTTACTACTGTAGTATTTAGTTTTAATTTTTGCCTTTCACGGCACATTAACAACAGAAGTCGGTGATAACATCAGCTATCCAATTCTACATATGTGAAGTTGATGTAGCTCATATAAGGACGAAACCCCCTTAGATTTGTTCAACTGAATTGTACAGCTTTAGTCGCCATTCCTTATCTGAACAAACTGTTAGAGTAAAAGGTCAGAAGAAAAAGCTAAGTAACTTCTAATCGCATTCATGTTACCATTCCATTTTGTGCATTGCATTACATTTACTAACCACCCCTTAATCAAGATCAGATACTTTTAACTTCCGTTCAAGTCACATAAAATCCTAAATAAAAAATTTCTGCATAAACCACTTTAACAAGCATATCCAACCGAGAGAGAGAGAGAGAGAGAGAGAGACAAAGAAAATCGAGCTACGATACAATTAAATTTATCAGTAACAAGAGAAACAATGATAAATAGGCGACCTTTTGTTTGACAATAGGGGATTTGTGTTGAAGACGTTTGAGGATGAACTCGGAAACTTCCTTAACTATGCCAGCATGAGACGACCGGAGAAGCTCGCAGATCTCTTCCAACTTGTAAACCGGAGTGACCTTGTCTTCGTCTGAAGTTGCGCCGTCGATCATCCGCGACCTCCAATACGACTCCACCGCTCGCCTGCTCGAATCCATCGCTCAGATCAATTTCTTCGACTGACCGTCGTCCCCAATGAACCCAAACAGCAAATCCTGCGAACAATAGATTCGATCTCGCTCAGGAAGAGATGGATTTGGGAGGAGAAGACGACGGCTGTCGTTGAGGTGGAGAAGGGTCGTTGAGGTTGAGAAAGTTGTGCTTATTCAAGAGAGTAAAACGTGAGAAATTTCGTGAATTTGTGATTTTTGTCGCCTGAAGTAAAAACTTTGGTTTTTCTTTAAACTTTACCCTTTGGATGCAAAGAAAATAAGAAGAATTTATGGAAAATGACTGAAAAAGTTTGAAATTTATGAGAATGACCTCCTAGATTTAACACAGATTCGCGTGAGGCGCGTCTGCTCTACTTGCGTGAAATGAGGGGAAATGACAAAAAGGCCCTTCCAATCAAGAAACAAAACGTCATTGTTTATGACTGTTACTTCAAAAATTAAACGGAAATATTAAAATTAATGACCAGCCGTTAGGTTGCCTTCGAAGTGGCACGATGATTTTCGAAAAGGCTTTCAGTGTCGTTTGAAGCGCCAACCCCTCCTTAATCCCCCGACCAGTCTTTGGAAACGATACGCCTTCATCAATCGAAACTCTTATGCTCTTCGTTCTCCATTGCATATCGTCGTCGGATACCTTCAAGAACTACCACACATCTGTTTGCCATGGAGAACACCAGAGGAAGTTGCGGGTTCTAGTACAAGAGAAGAAGAACTCTCACCCAAACATGAAGGGAGGAGATGGAGAATGAAAACCACATATTTTCAAATAATCCTCACTTAAAATTAACTAATTTTGGTTTTATTTTGAACTATTTGTGCTTGGTGTCAGATTTCCGCTGAGGTAACTCCATCTGTGGAGGGTGAATCGTTCCCGGATGCTTCGGAAATTGAGGTGCATTGCATGTACACTAAAATATAACATTTTAAGTTTATTTTGTTTGTTTTTGAAACATTCGGAAACAGAACAAGTTATTCGACCATGGAAATAATCAATATAATGTTAAAGTAATTGGTTACAATCGAATGCACTCGAATCTATTTTCTGATTAGTTCTTGATTTTAATTCTAGGTTCCCGCGTTGGATTGCACCATTGATATTGATAAAATACCTGGAATGAAGTTAACCCTGAAATCTTCTTTGGGGGAGTTCAAGAATCTGATGAGCGAAGGACTTGGAGATCATCTAGAAGTCTTTGCTTTGTTTAGGGAGAACATCCTTTTTTTCTCATTTTTTGGATGTTGAGTGTATTTCTCCTCTTCTGTTCCTATGGCAACTCATTGCGAGGGAAGCCAAAATAAAGAGGAAATGAGAGATGTGGTTTGTTATCAAAGGAGTTCCTGTCAGGTACTCCTTGAGGGAGTTTTCACTCATAAGCGGCCTCAACTGCTCTCACCTTAACGCTGGCTTTGAAAATTCAAAGGAATTAACCTTTGCAAAGAATGATTTCATTCAAGCTCACTTTCCTTTTGCAAAGAAGGGAAAGAAATCTGTTGCAGTCACATACAAGATGGTTGTGCAACATTTCTTGGACATTTGTAAAGGTTTGGACGGGGAAACGAAGAATGAAGGCCACAAGATGGATGATGTGAAAAAAGCCACACTATTGTTTGTTGTTGTTGTTCTCTTGGGTCCTGCTGATCGCGACAAGTCTGCAATTCCAGATTGGGTTATGGGCATGATTTCAAAGAGGACAGTAGTTTTAGATTTCCCATGCGGAACTTGGGCATTTATAGAGTTCTTTTGGTCACGGAGGAAAGACCTAGCTGCTAAGGGCAAATCAATTGGAAGTGGGGCCTCATCAACTATGTACTATACTGGTTTCTTGCTTTCCATTGGGGTAAGGATTTTTTCAATTATAATATTTCTTATTATTGTTTTTGAAATGTGATCTCATTGAAACTTTCAATATGAAAAGATCCTAATTCTAACAAATATTACAACAAGAAGCCCACAAACATCCCCAACTAGGCCAAGAATCTGCCTTTGGGGTGAAATTCTAATAAAGAAGAAAATCACCCACACAGAAATGGATGCTTATGTTGGGGACGCGTAGGTATATACATTTTATTGGTCAATAAAGATTAAAAATTTAAGGAATTCCCAAAATAAAGTGTCATTGTTTTGGTTGCAGGCTCTACAGAGCATTCTTGTTCCCGATAAGTTTGAGGCTACTGCAGAGTGGTATTTGAACATCCATCCTCTAGAGACCACAGCAGACCCTGAGTTGGATGCATTTGTGGCAAAATTAGAGGGTAGAGCGGAAGTCCACATTCCAGTGGAGAGGAAGAGAAAAGCCCGGAATGTCCTTTCACCAACAAGAGATAATTCTGTAGAGCGTAATAAGCACATCTCCTCTCCCCAAGCATATCAGAGCCTTAGAGAATCTCCTTCTAGAGTCTCCCATTCCAACATCCCAACTCCATCGTCTCCTACCCCTCACCCCACCAAGCCTTTATCCAATTCCTTTCAAGAACTCTTTGATCGAATGTCTCAGAAAATTGATGACATTGCAGAAGAACAACGAAAGAGGTTTGAAGTGCTGGAAAAAAAAGTTGATGCTTTGTCAACTTTAATAAATCAAAAGACTGTGAATAAGGTATGTCAAAGCTTTTGAAAGGTCATCCAATAGTTTTAATTGATCACAACTTATCTATTCTTATGTAAAAATATGAAGGTGAATGTAACTGAATCAGGAAAAAACCTATAAAGACTCCGCTAGAGATAAGTAAAAAACCGTCGAATATATACGGAGCAATCGAATATATACGAAATGTTTGAAGTTTCTCGAATACAGTCGAAACATTTTGTTCAGTTTTAAATCTATAAGATCTTTTAGCGTTCAGGTGCCAGCGATGACAATCATGGATAATTGTGAAGAGACTAAGGCACGCAATCCTTCACCTGATGATAAGGTTTAGGGTTAATGGAGTTATTTCATTTTGTTTGCATATGTTAAATGAAATCATAAAATCATTTCATACTTCATTCTCATCATTTTCATACTTCATACTCTATAGGTTTCTCCAAGACTCGGTATTCTCCAAATTCTTGGGGAAATAAATCAAGAGCATGAAAATCCACCTTCAACTCTTTGTGATTATGTTCTAAGTTTGGAGAACATAATGGTAAAGTTCTAATCTTAATATACAGCTGCATTGTCCTTTAGAAAATGTTCTAACCACATATTTTTGGACTCCACACCTTTTGTACTTGTCTGTAGCTTGAGTCTACCCATGACACAATGATAAGAGACGGTGCTGCTTCAATTGAACCTTTGGAACTCCTTGTGGAGAAAATAGTAACATTCTTATTTTCATTCATTAATTTTGTCTTTCGATATATGAAAGGATATAATATGATAGATAGATTCATATTTATGTTCTTGTTTGTAGGCTCAGTCTACCCATGAGACAATGGGAACAGAAGCTGCTGCCTCAATGAAGCCTCTACAGGACATGGTAAAATTCTAAATCTCATGCATTCGAAATGTAGTTGATATCTTCGAAGTATTCTGAACATGTTTTTTTACACTCTATTTAAGAAAAGTTTTTTTTAAAAATCTAATATAGGTTGTTTCTCCCCAGAAGGAATTGGGCAACGAGGCTGAGATTATTGATGCTCATGTGCATAGAAAGGTTTGGTATCTTACTTCAAGTGCTTTCAAATTGGAGTCAAAGATTCCAAAATAATTCAAATTATCTGTAGGTTGAGTCTAGCCATGAGGTAATGGAAATAGACACTGCTGCTTCTATGAAACCTCTGCAAGACAAGGCAAAATTCTAAATTTCATACATTCAAAATGTAGTCAATATCTTCGAAGTATTTAGAACATGTTTATTTTCACTCTATTTAATTTAGGTTGTTTCTCACCAGAAGGAATAAGGAGACAAGGCTGAGATTATTGATGCTCGTGTGCATGGAAAGGTTTAGCATCTTACTTCAAGTGCTTTCGAATTAGAGCCAAAGATTTCGAAATAATTCGAATTCACTTATTTTTTTTATTTTAGAGATTGAAAAAGAAGTCAGCCAGTTTGAAATCTCCATATACAGCGGATGTGAGGAAGAAAAAGAAAGCCGATGAACTCTTATCTAATTCGAATTTAGGAGCTTCATTGCAGAAGCAATTAAAATTGACCGCCCTGTACATTGCTACCTCGAGTAGCACAAGGAGCATGAGAAATATGTGAAAACCTGGTGGACTGACCTTATAACTCCAGGTCTTTGGGTAGCGGATACTGTAAGTTGTATTAACCTTTCATTCTTCGTACACAAACAATGCTTATATCTTTCGTTTTCTAATAACATACTTTTGTTTGTTAACTAGCATCTGAGTGAGTACCTTTACGTCCTGAGAAGACGTTTATGCAATGACAATGGAGACTCTGTCATTGCACATTTTGAATTCACAACGTACGTGAACTCTTTTGCGCATGACCCAGAATACCATGTTTTGTCTAGATCCATTGAAAAGATTGTGGATGGTACATACAGCGAGAGGCAGGAAGCATTTAAAACCAAAGCCTAGAAAAAGAACACTGAGTGGGGTGTATTCAATTCAGACTCTGTATGATTTTTTTGGATTTTAAAAGTCAATGTGTATTCAATTGGAATTTTAAAAAAATCAATTAAAGTTTGGAGTTATTCAATTGAGATTTTAAAAAGTCTTTCTAAATCTAATGATATTGAAAAGTTTATAGATTTTTAAGAATTGTTAAAAAATATGGATTCTAATGGATTTTTAGTTTGAAATATAAATAAAAAATTTGTTTTCAAATCCAACCAAAACACCAGGTATTTTCAAGAGTCAAGAGTCTGTCCACAACTCCCCGATCTCCTTCTTCAAAAATCTTCTTCTTCTATTCTTCGAGCTCATCTTCTCGATCTCCTTCCCCGTCGGCACTGGTTCTTCTGCAAATCGGATAAAGTGATTCCATCGGGCGCTCCCTCGTTCATCACTCCAGATCTGTCAGCGATTCCGAGGTCGTCTATTTCTACAGTCGGCGGTAGGTTATTTTAACAAGGTAATGAAAATCATTATTTGTTCTCTTTCAATCTCGTTTTCATCTCCTTAGGGTTTCTGAATTTGCAGCTCCGCCATACAAATCTGTCCAGTTTGAAGCATTAATTCACTATTCTTCAAACTTGGCTAAGATAAATTGATTTTCCATATTAATTTTTTTCTAGGTTTTTCTATATCGTTCTTGCTCAAAGTCATGCTATTGAAGTGATTATCAGTTTTTTAGTCTGTATGTTCTTGAATTTTGGCATAACATAGTTCGTATGTTTTGTCCCATACCTGTAAATTTTGGCAAATATCTGCAAATATAGTCCGTATATTCTGCAAATATAGTCCATATGTTGTAAATTTTTTAATATCTGCAAATATAGTCCGTTTATTCTGCAATTTTGGCATAATATATTGCTGTAATATTATGCATTTTGGCCTACGATTGGGAAAGATTTGGGTATGGCCTTACATATTTGTTTGTATGCATGTATAGAACACATATTTGCAAAACATTTTTTTAGTCCCACTGCACTTTCTGCAAACAAGGGCAGTAAGTTTAGAACTTTTAAAAGTAAGAGCATATGCAAATAGCAGCAAACCTTCTAAGTGATGCAAGGTATTCCTCCCTGCGAAGATTTTGCATCTCTTCAAGGTCCCTTGTATAGTCTTTTACCTGAAAGAATGCAATAAGTACAGATTCATTCAATTACATACTATAAATGCATCATAGTGTACCTACTATATAAAAGTTTTTGCAGTACTTCCAATAGCATTTTTTCACCATTATGTTATATGAAACTGAAATCCCAAATTCCCGTGAGTCATAGAGGACACAATTCCGGAAAGATTTAGAAACATTTGTTACTTCGAAAGATTTTTTTAGAAAGATTTTTTACTTATACATATTTGTTTGTATGTATGTATAGAATACAATGCTGGAAAGAAGATTTATTACTCTGCATATGTTGTTTATCTGTTAATTATTTATTTTGGTATGCATATGTGTAAAGAAATGGTTATGTGCTTGGTCATATAGATAAATGGAAGAAGAAGTGATAGAAGGGAAGAAATAGATGAAGAAGGAACTGAAGAGGAATTCTTTGAAACTATCAAGTACTTATTATTGGCCATTCAAGCAATAATGGTTGTTTTAAGAGAGGCTCTAATTAACATGCCTCAACGTGTGGAAGGTTCCCTCAAACGTCGCTCAGTAACTACAAAAGGGTATCATTACATACATGAGTGTTGAAAGAAGATCCACAAAGTTTTCGAGAGCTGTATAGAATGTATCCTGATGTGTTTCTTAAGCTATGTACCGTTATCAAAGAAAGTACTCCTTTAGAAGATACGAGATATATTTGTGTTGAAGAAATGATAGCAACATTCCTACTCACTGTGGGTCACAATGATCGGTATTGTAATGTTCGTCAAAGATTTGGTCGTTCACATTTCGCAACTAGTCAAAACTTTAACAAAGTTTTGAAGGCATTAAACACTATAGCACCACAAATGATGGTCAAGCCGGGATTTGCCGTGCCTTCTAAAATAAGAGGCAACACAAGATTTTACCCCTATTTTAAGGTACTTTCTTTGAGAAAAGTAATGCAAAGTTGATTATGAACTAATTTTGATTACTATTGTTCTTAAATGTATGAACTACAAATTTGTTTCAATTTATTATTTTTTACTATTTTTTATGCTTTAGGATTGCATTGGTGCCATTGATGGCACTCATATTCCTGCAATGGTTAAAGGTCGTCAAGTAAGTAGTTATCGTAATCGTCATGGTATTCAGTCCCACAATGTTTTAGAAGCTTGCAACTTTGATTTGGAATTCATATACTCCCTCCGTCCCCCTAAGATGTTCTCATTTTGACTTTTGGTGGTTTTTAAGGAGAGTTGAAAAAAGGAGAAAGTTTACCATAATACCCTTAATGAAAAATGGGTGGAGTGTATTAAATGAGGTGGGTGAGATGTATAAATAAAGTAAGTGGGGATAGTTGTGGTATTTTAATTGTTAAAAAATGAAATGAGAAAATCTATTGTGGACAAAAAAAAGGGCTATTGGGAAGATATATGTGGGACGGAGGGAGTATGTGCTTAGTGGGTGGGAAGGATCTGCACATGATTCAAAAATGTTAAATGATGCATTATCTAGAAGAAATGGACTTGAAGTGCCTCAAGGTTAGTGGGTGGGAAGGATCTACATAACTTTCTTCGTAAAGAGTGTCGTTCTGATGAATTTCCTCCTGAACCAATACTTGAGTCATCTTCTTCATCATATCTTGACATGGAGGAAGAAAATTCTGAAATACTTTCTCAAACTCAACAACAATAAAGAACAATAGCTAACGCTTGGAGACATGGCATTGCTGAAGCTATGTGGGCCGATAGACCACAAAATGATGCTAATGAGGAGAATGAAGAAGGTTTTGGTGATAATGAAGTTGAAATGGAAGACTATGTTTTTAACTAATTTTATTTTTCAATTATCTTTTAAAATTTTGAATAATGTCTTCTCTTGAGTTGTCTTTAGAATTTTATTATTGATGAGTTTTGACATACAAGAAGAATAGCGGAGAGATAACATTAATTTTAGATGTAAAAACAAATTTATTGCTTATTTTATTCTAATAAATATATTACGACAATGATAAATTTTTTTAAAAATAAGTTATTTTTATTTTATTAGATTATTTTTTTATTATTTATCGATTTCATAAACAAAGCTTTTAATAGCTAATTACAATAGTTCATGTTATAACAATGTATAAATTTATAAAATAATTCATATTTATGTATAAATAATCTATGGATTATAAACAATCAAACAGAATCTTATAAAATTCTGCTGATAAAATACATTAAAATCTATCAAACTCAGCATAGACTTAAAACAATCCATAGATTTTGCAGAATCTATTGACTTTAAACAATCTATCTAAATCCATCAGAATCCTGATTGAATACACCACCCTAAGTATGTATATTATTTGAAAGGCACGAGTTCACATTGGTTCTCTGCCAATGCTGACTTTGAGAGGGGCTCGTCGTGATTGACTCCCTTTCTGGGATATCTACGAATGAGGACATGCATCGTTTGCTGAAAGATGAACTTAGAGGGTTTTCAGACATTGCCCCACGGGTATGCCACTTGGGATATCGAATTATGCCCAGTAGCCCAACAGAATAATTCTAACTGTTCGCGGTAAAAATGTTAGAGTTGGGAGCACAACAAAAAGATTTTAAAATCTTTGGAGAAGATGACAAAAGAAAAGATGGCCAACATGCATTTAGAAGTTGCTTACTACATATGCAAGGAGTACCATTGTAGAAACAAAAAATAAATTCAGTGGTAGATAAATATATTATTAAAAAATTGTGGTGGATACATATGATTTCATGGAATAGCATATATTATTACATATATTATTAACATTATTATTAATTATGTGGTGGATACATATAATTGTATGGAATTGCATGGAGTTGCATGTAAACACGAGTAACTAATATTACGGGATTACATTCTGAAACTTGTTCATATAAAATTACATAAAAATCAATAATTCCATTAAATTAGCTCGGATTGATCTTTGAGTAATTTCTTTTTGATCCCTTCAATATTTCGATCTCTACACAAGCTGCTACCCCTGCTAGCATTCCCCTAGATCTGGAGATTGGGTTTGGCTTGTATTTATAATGTCTGTTTGTTCGATCAGACAACACCATTCCTCTACTACAGCATGCATGCACAGTTCGTCATCATGTGCTACAGTCGTGGGATGCGTTATCTGATCAAAGAACCATTACGACCGTTTCATCTGATCGAAAAAACCATTACGACAGTTAGAAAAAAACAACGTACTTGAAATATCCATTTCTATCAATCAATGAAAGAAATTAAAGGTAAGAAATTCTGATGTGGGTAAAGAAACAAGATTGTAAGATATGGTAAGAATTTTCCCATGATTTTTCTTATGTTTACATGCATTTTGCAAAATTCGAATTTTTAATTCTAGTAAACTCATTATTTTCTAATCCTATCCTATATATATATGTAAAGTAAGGTTCAATTGTTGGAGTGTTGACATGTGGCATGCCACATAATCATCCACATGTGCATTCCTTGATTAGATGGAGGAATTTTATTGGTCCATTTAATTATTTAAAAATACCCTTTAACACATTTTATTATATTACATTCAATAAATATTATATTTTAGTATTAAAAACATTACTTTAATTATACTTTGTGTGTGTGTGTGTGTGTGTGTGTATATATATATATATATATATATATATATATATAAAGTTAGGTTCAATTCTTGGAGTGTTGACATGTGGCATGCCACATAATCATCCACATGTGCATTCCTTGATGAGATGGAGGAATTTTATTGGTCGATTTAATTATTTAAAAATACCTTTTAACACATTTTATTGTATTACATTCAATAAATATTATATTTTAGTATGTCTTCAAAAAAAATTGTTTTAGTATTAAAAAACATTACTTTAATTATACTTTTAATGAAAATGTA